CATAAATGGCATATTTTGATATGGTTTCCCTTGAATCCTAGTGTGAAAGTAGCCTGGAACACCTTATGACATGGTTAGAATTCTTGGTAGATAGAGAATGATCCATTTCTTTGCTCTTCCTTAATCTCTTTGGATTCCAGATTTACATCACAACTAATGATGAACTTCAGGTCTTTGGTAACAAATGTGTCTCTAAGACACTTTGCTCTTTAGTTAAACTTAATTTCAGATTGAAAAGTAGAGGAATGAAATAGGCTGAAGATTTTGGGAGTCCCTCAAAAATAAGGCATTCTGATAGCGAGTTTTTTTGGTGGTCAGGTACTGGAGATTGCATCCAGGGGTACTTAACCACTGAGCCACGTCCAGAGTCCCTTTTTTATTTTATTTTGAGACAGCATCTCACTGAGTTACTGCAGCTGACTTTGAACTTGAAGTCCTCCTGTCTCAGCCTCCTGTGCTGCTGGGATTAGAGGCATGCACCACTGTACCCTGAAGGAGTTTGGTTTAAGAATTATAACAAAAGATTTTTTCCTCCAATTTTAAGATTTCATGGAGAAAATCTTATTTACAAGTTGTCTTTAGCTTTTTAGTTTGGCCTGGAATAGAAATGTATTAGACTTTTTTATTTGCAAGCAACAGAGTTCTATCTAACTAAAATGCAAAAGTAATATCATTAGAAATTCACAGAATATAAGGGAGAACCAAACTATCAATTCTCGAAAAGTAGTACAAAATCTTGCTCAGAGGCTTATTGGTTGAAACAAAGAAACATACACCAAAACTTACAAACATTACTCAGAATATTTTTTAGAAAAATCAGTTATTATCTCCTATAAATTAAAACAAACTTTTGATAAGTTAACATTAGTAGTTTTTTACTAGTAAAACTAAATATATTTTTATGAGTGAATTATGTCTATACATAAGATTCCTTGTGACATATTCATACATGCATGCAACATAATTTGGCGAGTTTTGTTCCCCAATATCTCCCTTTCCTTTGCACCTCTGCCTTCCTCCATACTTTCATGGTCTCCTAGTTTCATGAGACTCCCCTGCTTGTCCCTTTTTTTTCCTTTCTGAATTCCACACAAGAGAAAACATGACTTGAATTTCTGAGTCTGGAGTCAAGTTTCATCCATTTTCATGAAAATGACGTAATTCTTTCTGTCTGAGTAAAACTCTGTATATATCACATTTTTTATCTGTTGACAGACATGGTGGCTGGTTTCGTAACTTAGCCATTGTGAATTGCACATATAAACATGGGTATGCATGTGTCATATGCTGACTTCAATTATTTTAAAACCAAATGCTTTTTAATGAAAATATCAATTTGTAATTTTTGAAAGATTCTTACATTTTTATCAGAGGATTACTTTTTTGGTCAACTCATGAGCCTTTTTCTTGGTGGGTTTGCTTTTGAATGTGGTAGACACACCATACAGACACAGACAGACAGGTTGAAAATGAAAGGATGGAAATTTATATACCATGCAAATGGAGCCTGAAAACAAGCAGGAGTATACCTACTCTTGTACATGACAAAGCAGATTTCACAACAAATTCAGTCAGAAGAGACAAAGAGGGTATTTGATAAGTTCAGCAAGAAGATACAACAACAATAAATATTTATGCCCCCAAAGTGGGTTCCTCTAACTATGTAAAAGAGGCACTACTCAAATGAAGTGTCAGACCCCAGTATAATAATATTAGGTGATTTTAGCACACCTCTTTCACCATTAGATAGGTCATCTAGACATAAATTCAGAAGACTTTTTGGACATGAAAAATATTATTAATCAAATGGACCCAACAGACACTTGTAGAATATTTCATCCAACAATGGCTAAGTATACTTTCTTCTCAGCAGCTCATGGAACCTTCTCCAAAACAGGTCATATTTCAGGCCACAAGGCAACTTTTAGGAAATAGAAAAAAAGTTATATAATCCTTGCCATATTATCAGATCATAATGGAGTGAAATTAGAAATCAACAGGTCAAAACCTTATAGAAACTATATAAACACATGGAGATTGAACAGTAGTTTTTTTGAATGATGAATGGGTGATAGAAGAAATCAAAGGCAAAAATGACAAAATTCTTAAACTCAAATGAAAATAGTGACACAATATACCAGAACCTCTGGAACACTATGAAGGCAATTCTAAGAGGAAAGTTTATAGCTCTGTGTTCCTACAGAAGGAAATCAGAAAGATCCCAAATAAACAACCTAATGTGCATTTCAAGACACTTGAAAAAGAACAAACTAATTCTAAAACCTGTAGAAGGAAGGAAATAATTAAGATCAGAGCCAAAATCAGTCAACCTGAGAATAATAAAAAAAATACAAAGGATCAATGAAACAAGAGTTGCATACTTTGATTGATAAGTCCTTAGCTAAACTAACCAAAAGAAAAAGAGAAGGGTGGAATCAAATGCTTTTATTTATTACATTTTATAATTGTAAAAGATTACAATCGTTAAAAAATAGCACTCCAGTTGTTGTGGTTTAGTGAATTTGTTTTGCTTTATTGAAAAAGAATTAAAATTGATGTGTTAAAATGTTTCTCAAAGCTTAAAACATGATTTTTAAATGTTATTTTTTACTTTTAATTTTGCTTTTGGTACATCCAAATATTCAGCTTGTTTTTTCATAGTTTTTGGTATTTTCTGAAAAATCAAAAAAAGTTTTTTCTTTTAAAGAAAAAGAAAAGAAAAAGAGAGAAAACCCATATAATAAAATTAGAAATGAAAAAGTAGAAATCTCCACAGACACCTCAGAAATTCAGGGGATCATATCAGGGACTAGTTTTGAAATTTATATTCCAATAAATTGGAAGACCTAGAAGAAGTGGATATATTTCTAGACAAAATAGATGTGCCAAAAATGAATCAAGAGAACATGGAAAACCTAAACAGACCAATAGCTTATAATAAGATAATACTAATTAAGCCTTTTTTGCAAAAAAATTATAAAATTATTATTACTATTTTGGTTATATGATTCATATGTATTTTGTATAGGTTTTATAAACAGCCAGATTACTGGTTTTTATAGCCTATCACTGGACCTTGGTTTTAGATTTTTCAGATAGTAATGCTTTCTGTTTCTTTATAATACTTATCCTTTCTTGTTTCTTTTCTTTTTCTTTTAATGCACTGCTTTGGATTTGTTTTCATTTGAACAATAGCAGTGATAAATGGACCATGCTGTCATGATCTTTCTTTTTAATGGCCTTGCCTCTTTTTATACTTTTACTGTGATGATGGCCACTGTTTGAGAAGTCTCCTATATTATTAACAATCCTTTTCTCAGATGTTTTATAAAACCAGATAGTGAATATTATCTTTTTATTAAATGCTTTTATTAATATTTGCCCAACTTACTTTTTCATGAGTTTGCACAGTTTCTGGTTTAATACCAGGCTCATGATAACTTGATGTAATTCCTGATATACTACCACATTTTGTGTGTCTGGGATTAATGATTAATTGTATATACTTGAAAGTTGATAAAGAACGATAGTAAAATCATGAGGATCTCAAATATTTTGGAGCAGTGGTTTAAAAAACCAAAATTCTTTCTTCCATAGCTGTTAACTATAGTCAGTGAAAATTGTCACTTGCTTTCTATAATATCACTTAAATAGTAAAGTTTGTCCTCTAATTTACATTTTTTCCCTTCCAAAATGTGTACATGAAAGTAATAATATGAAATATTTTAGTTGTTTAGAACTGTTTGAACATGTCTAAATACATTTTTTGATTATCTTGTGATATCTTTTACATTACATATATGTATATATTTTAAAATTCTAATTAGGCAAAATTAAGTTTTAAAGGTATTCATTGTTCATATAGTTTTCATTTTTTGAATATATATTTTGGTTTACTTCTTAATTTTGGGGGGAGTAACTGGGGATTGAACTCAGGGGCATTCAGCCACTGAGCCACATCCTCAGCCCTATTTTGTATTTTATTTAGAGACAGGGTCTCACTGAGCTGCCTAGTGTCTTGCTTTTGCTGAGGCTGGCTTTGAACTTGCAATCCTCCTGCCTCAGCCTCCCAAGCTGTTGGGATACTTTTTAATTTTTGTACTTTTTTCTTTTGCTAGGCAACACATGTGAGTGGTAAACTCTTCAAGGACCTACTATTTGTGTTCTAATGTACTTGTTAATGAACTAATATCTTGATTGACTATAGTATTCATGAATGTTAGTCTTCCCTCAAAACAATATAAGTTTTGCTCCATTGCTTTTTGGAAGGAAATAAATATTATATGGAAAAAGGTCGATGTCATTTCATTTTAAGTTTTGCTTATGGAATTTTTTTTTTATCCTGAAAAGGAAAAAAATAGATTTCACATTTATATAAGCATTTCTTCATTAGTGTTTGCTAAAAATTGGTCTGTCTTGAAAGATCTTTTTTATGTTAATTTTTAATATAGGAATCCTCTAAAAGAAAATAGTTTGTTATGTTTGGTTTGAAAGCTCTTATATGAATAAGTTATTTATTGCTGTATAAAAAAATTACCCTAAAACTTAGTAACTTTAAAACAATATCTACTCATTATCTCTTTCAATGTCTGTGGGTTAGGAATTTAGACATGGGAGAAGATACATTAGATGGATCTTCAGTTTTAGAGTCTCATGGGGATGTAAAGTGTCAGCCAGCTCTGGAATCTCACATAAGAATGGTTGACTGGGGAAGGCTCTGCTTCCAAGGTTTGTCTTATTCTAGCGCTTTTTTTCCTACAGTAGTATATATTGGCGAGTATTTAGCTTGATTGATATTCACTGTTTGAATCTTACATCCAGCCCAGAGAATATCTTATTCAGTCCTTTTTGATGTTCAGTCATAAGAATGGGGGGGAGTGGTGGGGGCAGAAGGAGAGGGAATATGAATCTGAGAAAAGGGGGAAAAGTGGGGAGAGACACTGTATGTTTTGTGTAACTTCTCCATTTTAACAGCTCCATTATGTGTTTTCCCCTCATAGGTGCCTTAGCTGGACCAATTATTGTGGAGCCACATGTCACAGCAGTATGGGGAAAGAATGTTTCATTGAAATGTTTAATTGAAGTAAATGAAACCATAACACAAATTTCATGGGAGAAGGTACATGGCAAAAGTTCACAGACTATTGCAGTTCATCATCCTCAATATGGATTCTCTGTTCAAGGAGAATATCAGGGAAGAGTCCTGTTTAAAAACTATTCACTTAATGATGCAACAATTACTCTACATAACATCGGATTCTCTGATTCTGGAAAATACATATGCAAAGCTGTTACGTTCCCACTTGGAAATGCCCAGTCCTCTACAACAGTAACTGTGTTAGGTAGGTGTACTTGAATTGTGTATTTTGGTGATAGTAGTGAGGGTTATATATTGATATTCCCTGTTTGAATCTTATTTTCAAATTTTAAAATGTTTTAAATTTTCTTCAAATTTGGATTTAAAATACAGTAATTCAAATGTGATTTCTCAAATTTTGTCTTAAAACTGATTCTAGGATCTTTTATCTTTTAAATTATTATTAGTAATATCTATCCATCTGTCTATATAATTCGTCATTGTTTTAGCTTTTTACTTTTTTCATGAAAGATAATGTTTTAATTGTACTAGAAGCTGTTTCTGTGACATTTGTTTCCATTACTACCTCTTATATTTTTAACCTCGAAATAAATAATTACCATCTTTATTTAGGTTTTTCTGTTTTTATTTTCAGTGATTGATTTTGACTTCTTGGAGCCTTCTGACAATTTTTTCACATCAAAATTTTTTTTTCACATCAAATTTTATTCACATCAAATTGGCCTTTGTGGATTTGGATAGGTATTTGAATCTTGTGATATTGCTCATAATAAATGATATTACTCCATTTTTCTATCTGATAACTGTTAAAATTTATGGTGAAATTTTGAATAACCTTATTAGCATTAAGATAACCACCTGCAGAAGGATGTTAAACAATTTTGAAATACTGCAGAGTATTTTTGGAATGATGCAATAAGGATCAAGGAGCAATATTTTATTGCTCACATAGAAATATACTGCTTAGATCTTTCCTCCAAAAACTGCTCAGCTGGGGCTGGGGCTGTAGCTCAGGCGAAGAGCACTTGCCTAGCATGTGTGAGGCATTGGGTTTGATTCTCAGCACCACATATAAATAAAATAAAAATCCATCAACAACTAAAAAAAAAAAAAAAAACCTTTAAATTAAATTAAAAACAGACTGCTCAGCTGCTAGGAGTTTGGTTACTGATAGTTTTCCCTAAAGCTAATAAGAATTCCTGACATATAATAGCCATACAGTAAATGTTATATAAGTAAGGTATAAGAATGAATTTGGTGAACATGGTAGTTAAGAAATGTTTTATAGACTCAGTAGTTGTGTTAGTCTTTAATGATGGACAGTTTTTGTGTATAGGTAAAAATTAAAGAATAGGAAAATATTATTCTAAAATTGAGAGCAGGTGAGCCAAGGCAGAGAGACAGAAAACTATAAATTAAGGCAAAATTTTTCTTACTTCCCACTGTTGAATTTTGGGGTCAGAATTCTTCATTTTGGTGAGCTGTCCTATCCAAGGTAGCCTATTTAAAAGCATCCATGACCCCTAACTTACTAAATGCCAGTAGCGCTTCCATCATCCCGTTTGAAAACTCTGAATTAGTGGAACACTGAAAAAGTAATGTGTTGATTCTTCACAGAGTATTTATATAGAAAACAAAAATTTTCAAGTCTTGAAAGGTAGAATAAGAGCAAATTAAAGTAATTTGAATGTTAGACTGACATATTACTAGAAATATGACCTTAGAGTGTGTGTGTGTGTGTGTGTGTGTGTGTGTGTGTATATATATAATGGTGTAATGGTGTGCTGCTTCTTTCCTGCCTTTTTTACTCTCAGATCATTCCTGGGTCCATGAACCAGCAGCACTTGGAAGCTTATTAGGAGTACAGAATTTTGGACCTCTCTCAGAGTTACTGAACAATAATTTATGTTTTAGCAAGACCCTCTAATGATTTGTGTCCACTACTACTGTGTTCTCACCTGACTTAGAGAACTAACTTGATGACTAATTTAAAGTAGACTTCATGTAGTGAAAGTTCTGATTTAGGAAGATTAGTCTAGAATAGATTAAAATGATGAGATCCTAAAATCATACTGTTTTGGCCATGAGGCTGTAAAGTCTTGAAATTAATTTTCTAATTTCTGCCATTTGAGTGAAGAAGGGCAATATTACTAAGGAATAATTAGCAGGATTTTATAACTCTTTGTAAATATAAGAAACAAGGGAAGTTTGAATAGTGTAACAGCTTTTGAAACTTGCTGATGGAACAAAACAAATTGTTGCTATTATTTGAATGGGCTCATCTGAATTTCAAACAGGTGTTGAGAAGCTTGGATAATAGTTCAGCATTAGGTTTATTAAGTTTAACGATATATAAAGGGAAATACCTTTTGGTAGTTAGAAACGGAGGAGCCAGACTTGTAGTAAAATTGGATAAAGTTTGGGATCATATGGGCAGTTTTACTTATTGAAGTTCTAAGATGGATACAGAACAGGCCTGTGACTGATTATTAGAGCAAGAGGTTGGAAGAATTAATGGATGAAGTGTTCAGGGAAAGCTATGAGACAAGGCAGAGTACTATTATTCATAATAGGAGAAGTTTTTAAGCATTACTTTAGCAGCCTTTTTCTGCAATGAGAATTTAGCCCTACAGAAAAAGATTTCTCTTTTCAGTTTTTCTAAATGTGGAATATAGCTAGTATCATCCTAAATGCATAACCTAGAAGTTAACCCATTACTTGTAATACATAGTTTAAGGTATTAGAGCTTAATTCTTTTGAACTGATTGGGAAGGACTGTTCTGATTTATCACATTCCAAAAGGTTACTCAAAAGAAATAGGCATGGATAAGTCTATAGATTAGGTGGTCTTTGATAACAGAGTTTCGGTACAGTGGTTGCAGCAGAAACCAAATTAAAGGAATGTGATATAACAAAAAGCTTTAGGAACATCTAACAAGTGCCCCACAGTAGAATGATTTTGATATTAGTTGGTTACTTCCTCTTGATGGAATTTTATGTAGTTTCTAAAGTTGCAGTTAAGGGGAAGTACTTAAAAAAGAAATGAGGCACAACATTATATAAAATGAATCCATCTATATAAAAACTAGAATTAGAAACAAAGAGAAGGAAACAAATATGATAATGATCATTTTTAGGATATTATAGCTGTGGGTAATTCTGCCCTATTTTCAGTATTACTGGTTTTGCAATTGACTTTCATTGATGAATATGATGGCATAACAGGGTTTGAATTCATTTTCTTTACTCTGGAAAAAGAAAATCAGGCAAATAATGAACAGTTTTTAATCATTGGGTAATAAGCAATACAGGATTCTGATCTGTGAAAGATGTATGAAAATAAGGTGAGCCCCCACTATTGCTCTAGCTTCCTCTGTAGGCAGTTTCGAGGCCACAGTTCAGTGATGAGAAAAGAGGAAGGATGGGGGTAGGTAGGATACAGAGAGAATGAATGAATGGGAGAAAGGTGGAAAGTTCCCCCTCTTGGTAGCATATTTACATGGTCAGAGGAAGCAACAACAAAGTGTTGGACAGGGAAGAGTCACTACACAGAGAAGTTAATGTGATAAAACTAACTTTAGAAAACCAGTAAAAACAACTAGGAGATGAATGCCCTTAAGAAAAAATAAATAACAAAATTTAAAATTGACTTTAAAATAACTGTTTTAAGTTACCCAAAGAGAAAAGAAGGATTCTATTAATTATGGCATAAGTTATTAGATCAATCTTCTCACTGAGAGTGAAAAAAAAAAAAAAACCTTAGAAACTTCAAAGAAATACAACTAGGGCAGAATTTAGTAGAAGATGAGAAAGTAGAAGTTAGTGCTGAAAACTACATTTCACCTGAAAATGTATAACAGTTTAGAAGAAACATCTGTGATGATAAGATTTTGAGAACATTGAGAATTGAAAGAGACATGTCTGAGTGTAGTGTAATTCTGCTCAATATGGAGTGCCTAATTGTACATCTGATTTTCACTTTTTTACCTTAAACACTTATATTCTCAGAATAGTAATAACCTAAAAGTAAGCTAGCCTTCCTTGTAGACCTCTAGAACTGTATATTAACTTAAGAAAATTGTGGCCTGTTTAGTGTTTTTAGGAGCTTGTCATAAGAAAACATGGATTTGTTCTGAAGGAAAGATACCTTAATTCTAGGCTTTAAATTATTTTTACAGTAATTATTCAAGCAGAGGTCTATAGTTTGCTTGAATTCTCAGATTTCCAAGTAAAGAAAATTCCAAAAGTAGCTGCCTGCACAAAATAAGACAACAGAAACAGCTGCCAAGAAATAAGATGTTGGAATTATCAGACATTGACTTTTAAACCATAGTACTTATTACATTTGGAGAAATAAGTCAATTTATAAATTTTCTGCAGAGAACAAGAAAACAAAGTCCTGTAATAGTTGGCCTCAAAGTACAGAAGTATGGTATTTCTTAGAACATTAAGTAGTTAATTTTCAAAAGTAAATAACAACTGATAAATTTTAGTAGATTGGAATTAAAAACTTCATTAAAACACACCAGATTATATCTTACTCTAATTTAGGTAATTTAGGACCCAATTCTTGTGTATGTACTGTCATGTAACTAAAAAGAACCAGTTAAAAAGAATAAATACCGCCCTCTGTATTAAATTTGAAACTCTTACACCCAGAACAGCTCAGGAACATACACAAAGAAGTGTTGAGAGTGTGTTTAAAGTATGTCTTACAAACAAAAGTAGTTGAAAAAATTTAGCAACTGTAATCAGTTCATTTAGGTAATATGAGAAGTTAAAGATTGAATGCTTAAAAGCCAGTGTGTTTTAAATGAAATTAATGAGTCACCCTCAGGGCCCAGAAAAGCATCTGTTGAGTATACTTAAAGGATTTTATTTTACTTTTGCTTAACATTTTATCTATAGTCTCAGTAGTAGTAATTCATTTTAAAAAGTAAAACTTTTGCTACATAATGAAGTATTACATATTAAAACTGCTTCTTATTTCCCTTCAAAAGTAATTACTTTTATCTTGTAAAAGAAATTATGAATAAATTCTCAGAAATTTTTTGTGTGCACTGATTTGGAGAGAACTCATCAGTCCTCATACAATAATGTACACCTGTGTCAGGGAGGGCTGTCTTTGTAATGGTAATATAGAATCTTTGTCTCCTGTTAGTCCTACCTACAGATCTTTTCTTCTTGTTTCGCAAACTCAGTTGATGTTGGCATTATCTAAAATCCATGTATGTAGATTAGTTGTTCCTAAGCTTGTGAAATATGTCTGGATATGTCTTGGAAGGAAGGAAGTATTTTCTTAATTAAAATTTAACTATTTTGTTTTTCATTTGAACAGTTGAACCCACTGTGAGCCTGATAAAAGGGCCAGATTCTTTAATCGATGGAGGAAATGAAACAGTAGCAGCCATTTGTATCGCAGCCACTGGAAAACCAGTTGCACATATTGAGTGGGAAGGTGATCTTGGTGAAATGGAATCTATTACAACTACCTTTCCAAATGAAACAGCAACAGTTGTCAGCCAGTACAAGCTGTTTCCAACGAGATTTGCTAGAGGAAGGCGGATTACTTGTGTTGTAAAACATCCAGCCTTGGAAAAGGATATCCGATACTCTTTCATGTTAGATATACAGTGTATGTAAAACCTAATTTTTGCTTTTCAACTTGAGTCATGTATTTTTTAAAAATCTGTATTTTCCCTCAACAAATTATTGTAAATTCTTATTTTTATTTGTTCTAATTAGTTATACATGACAGTAGAATACATGTTGATACATCATGTATAATGGAATATAATTTCTCATTCTTCTGGTTATACATGATGTAGAATCCCTTTGGTTGTATAGTTATATATGTGCATAGGTTAATAATATCTGATTCATTCTACTATCCTTCCTACCCTCATACCCACTTTCCTCTTCATTCCCCTTTACCTAATCTAAAAACTAGTCTAGTCTTCTTTAGCATCCCTGCCCTATTGTGAATTAGCATCTACATATTGGAGAAAACATTTGTCCTTAAGTTTTGGGTGATTGGCTGATATTCTCCAGCTCTATCCATGTATTTTATTTTTCTTCTTTTGACATCTTTCGTCAAGCTATTTTTAATCTGAGTATGTAGTATTCAGACAATTCTATAGCTTTTCATGGCTGACATTTTTTCTTTTTATTTTTTTATTTATATTTACATAAAATTTTCATTCACTCAGAACATTTTTTATTTTTCTTTTTTGTATTCAGATTTGGGATTGAACTCAGGGGCACATCACCACTAAGTTATATTGCCAGTCCTTTTCATTTTTTATTTTGAGTCAGGATCTTGCTAAGTTGCTGAGAGCCCTTGCTAAGTTGCTGTGGCTGGTCTTGAACTTGCAATCCTTCCGCCTCACCCTGCCAAGTCACTGGGATGACAGGTGTGTGCCACTGTGCCTGGCTCCTAATCAGAGCATTTTTTATTATTTTGTGAAAAGGACTTTTATGACCTTAAAAGTAGTCTGGATATAAGGGAATTGGAAAATTTGTATCTCAAAATGTACAATACTTAGGGACAGACAACTCCATTGTGTTTGAATGATTATTTACTTTCATGGAACTTACCCATGCTTGCTGTTTTCACAAGAGTCTTATTTCCCTAGGTACATTTTTAACTAGTTTGAAAATTGTTTTTCAATATTATTTCTAATCTGATCTTATTGGTAATGTTCTAAGATTCTTAGGTAGGTAAAACAATATTTTAAAAACACTGGGATAATAATAATTATAGATATGTATTAAAGCTGGCTTGTGGTTAAATTTTGTTGTTATTAAGGGGTACTTCATCTGTATCTACTTTTTTCTTTTCTATAGAGTTTCTCAGTTTGGGGTGTATTGTGATTTGTTTATTTGCATTTTAAAATTTTGAGCAAAAGAAAAGGTGATTGAGTGTTGCTTATAATTTATAGCAAATATAATGAAAATTAAGCAGGTTAGAGTGAGAACATTAGTAAAAATATTTAGATTCTGTTGTCATTTCCATTCATGCACAAATTATAAATCTAGATACGTTTTTGAAGGAGTTACTTCATTTTTTTGTTGTTATTATTTTGTTTTTTTTTGAAGTGTCATGCATGGAATTTTAAATTATACATTCATTAAACTTGTAATGGTTTTTAAAGTTAATTCAGAGTATATTTTTCAGTTTTTATGGGGTTAAACTTGAGAGGCTGTACTTATATGAATGTTGTTACCATTGCATTCTTGAATACAAATACCATCTTTTCTTCTCAGTTCTTTGGAGAAACTATTTTCTTTTTTGAATGTTTCCTTCCTTTTACAGACTCTTTTTCCTTATAAAATTCAGATCTCAACTGTAAATACTACCATTTCTCATATATATATGTATTTACCTGTATCTAATAATGTGACATTTTCTTGTTTTTATTATTTAACATCATTATTATTAATTTATTTTCTTTAATGTAATCATAGACATATAATATTATTTTTTCTAATGTAGTTGTCATAATAATGGTATTTATTTATTTTTTTATTAATTTTATTTTATTTTAATATTTATTTTTTAGTTGTAGTTGGAAAACAGTACCTTTATTTCACTTATTTATTTTTATGTGGTGCTGAGGATCGAACCCAGGGTCTTGCACGTGTGAGTTGAGTGCTGTACCGCTGAACCACAACCCCAGCCCCAATAATGGTTTTTATTATTGACTTGCTTCTAAATGTTCTTGGAATATTCATGACTTTTTCCTTAAATGGAAAATACAACATGAACAAGTTTAAGGGGATAGTCTTGGAGTCCAATTTCATACCTCAAAATTAGGGGGTATTTTTTTTAGGAATACATTAATTCCTATTCTTTCTTCCTTTTAAAAAGAGATTAAACCCACTCACAGATGTGTACTCTTTCAACAACATAATTTAGCACAGTTTTAAGTGTTGGCTAATTCTTGGTATTTTTAAGAGGCAGGCATTTTTTTTTTTTAATTATCAAGGTTAGCAGTAACTTAGTAAAAGTTTAATTTTTTACAGCTTTTTGGTAAACTGCTTTTCAGTAGACCAGGCTTTCCTAAAAGATTTAGACTGACCTGATGTCAATTTAACCTTTCATCTGTTGTCGTTTGCTATTCACTTGTTTTCTATGTTGCTCACAGAATGGTCTCTGTATCATACATAAGAAATGTTTTAAGGAATCCTTTTATGGCTTCTCTCACCTCTAATATAGCCTCAATTTAAATTAGGTTCTTGTTCTTATTCTTTTAACATCTTACTTTTTTCTTTCTTGATTTTCACGGTAGGTTTTAGCTAAATATTTATTATTAAATGTCATCCTCCTCATTTTAGTAGAATATAAATTTTATGAATAAAGAATCTAAATAAATATATGCCACATACCTAAAATGGAGTCTTTATCTCATTAGGAGTTAAACAAAATGATGATTGAATGAATGATAGGTATTGCTGTTTATGATTTATAGGCAGACATTTATTTTTGGTAGATATGAGTAATTGCTTCTTCAATAGCCACACATATGCTAAGAGATCTTAGGGATCATTGAATGAATAAAGTTTAATTTTTAGTACTATTTAGATAATTTACTTTTAAGTATGTAGTCTCACAAAGTCTGTGCTATAGTTTTCCATGCTCATAGACTATTAGTTAACTATAACATACAGAATTTTTTTCCTCTAACTGACTTGCTATCTCTTAGCAGATATATTTCCTTTTGGATTAAATATATTTTAAATGATAATTTTATGTGGTGATTTGGTTCTACATGATACTTAAATGCCATGTCTCATTATTTAATTAAGTACTATAATGTATTTGATTTTTTTCATGTGTTGTCTACATCTCTCATAATAGGACACTCACACTTTGCTTTTTGTGATTATAGGTTTATGAGTAGTCTTATATTCAACATCGTTAATAATTAGAACTGTGTATGCTTATAGTTGTCTAGTGTCTGGGTACTCATTATCCATTCATTGATTCATTCCTTAGGCATCTAAAATTTGAGTATTATCTTCCATATTGATTGATATATGTTGAGAACAGAAAAAATAATTGCTGTTCTTATAATGTTTAGTCTGTTGTGTTTATATTTTATCATTGTATAGTGCATTTACCTATAGCCAAAGATGACTTGTTCTGTCATGTGTTTATTTTATAGATGCCCCTGAAGTTTCAGTAACCGGATATGATGGAAATTGGTTTGTAGGGAGAAGAGGTGTTAATCTCAAGTGTAATGCTGATGCAAATCCACCACCATTCAAATCTGTGTGGAGCAGGTAATGTTAGATTTTGCTTCAGAAGAGAAATTATTTAAACGTGAAGAACATTCTTTTTTCCCATACTGAGGATTGAACCTAGTAACATTGTATCATTGAACTGTATATTCCCAGAGCTTTTTATTTTTTATTTTGAGACAGCATTTCCTTAAATTGTCCAGGTTGGCTTCAAACTTGATCCTCCTGCCTCAGCCTCCTGAGTTGTGATTATAGGTATGGCCACCATGCCTGATTAAATATGAAGAGTAATCTTAAATGCATATTTAAAACTTTTTTTTATCAGTACATGCCTGATTATAATAGCTGAATAATTTATTTAAAGGAATGATTTCTAAATGTTCTGTTGCCTCATTCCTCTGTACTTTCCTACCTTGTCAGTTGCTCACAGGCTGCGTTAGCAAATTTAGTCATCCTTTCTTGTAGTTCCCCTCTTAGGTTTTAAGCTGCTGCTTCTTGATTTACCAATTTTTAATACTGTTCACTTCTTCGGTAGATGAATTAATTTTATATCCACCCCTTCACCCACAAATACACATTCTTACTCTTTATTGATTCATTGTCTGAATGAATTTAGGTTACTTTTAGTTTAACTCTGTAATTTTTATTTGCCTCCCTATAACAGGTAAGTATTTTTTTTTACCAAGGGTTAAGTAATATACCAGCATCCTGGTTTTTGTTGTTGTTTTTGTTGTTGAAAGCTCTCTTTGTTTTCCTTGTAACTAATAGTTATCTCTTTTTTACTTATGTAGTTTATTATCTATATTTCCTTGATTCTTTTTTTTCTCTAAAATTCGAAACTGTTATACTAAAGTTTTCATTTTTATTTCTCAGTATTTGGAGCTTATTTCAATCTTTAGACATATATCTTTGGACAGCTGTCTTTTGTCATTTCACTTTATTCTTTTTGTTCCCTGTTCACTTTTACTGGAACTACTATTTATATTGTATAATAAGTATATTTATTGTTTTTCTAGCAATATTTTCTTAATCAAAAATTTTTCTGTTGACTTAATTTTTTAAAAAATTGACATATTTACAATTTCTTATAAGCACATTCTTATTCCCTGTTGTTTCATAGCATTCTTTTCGTATTTTATAGATACGGTGTCTTCTAGTTTCTTTCCAGGGATACTAGAGTATTATTTCTTCCCCAGAGATTTTTTTTTTCTGCCTTCTGCATATTGTCTCATTCTCCCAGATTCTTGAGGTTTGACCTTTTCTTTTTGTAGATAATCATTTTGGTTTTCAGTCATTTCAGAGTGAGACATTAAAATAAAGTGGATGGTGGAAACTTTTTCTTCTGTAGGTTCCACTTTGAATGACCATGTAGAGATTATTTTCCTAGGGGAAACTCTAGGTTTCACAAATGGACAAGTGGGAATTTTTTTCTGCATAAATTATGTTTTCTTCATAAATTATTTATAGAATTTACCTTCATATTTTAGCCTGAGAAGTAAATGCCCGGTATTGGTACCAAGTTGGAAGGAATCTGTTGATTTTTTTGTAGCTTTGAACTAATCTTATTTTCAGCCCTTTGCCTTATGCTGACCTTCTGTAGAAACAGTGAGTCAAACTCAGTAGATCTTTCTAACCTTGACACTATTTTCATTTGGAGCTAGATAATTTTTTTGTGTGATATGTTATAGTATTTTTAGCACATCCCATGCTTCTATCCTCTAAAGTAGCACCTTCTACTCCCCCATTAGGATAACCCAGAATCACTCTTCATTGAGAAACACTGGCTTAAAGCATATAACTATTTCCTCCATCTATTTTCTGTTTTCTCAATGTTTGTCAAATCTATCTTGTCTGTCCCTTAACTTTTGTTTTTGGTGTGATTTTATAGAAACAAGAAAACAGTATACTGATTACTTTGTTTCCTTTAAGAAAGATGGTTTTAAATGGAGAGAAGTTCTTTTTTCATTAATTTTTTTAAAATGGGAAGTAGTAATGAGTTAAGATATCTATTTGTTAAGGTATTTACAAAAAACAAGTAAATCTGGGTTCTTGCCAAGTGTCTGTACTTCTAGATATCTTTTTTGATTGAGTCATTTAATCTCTCTAATACTTAGTTTCCTTGTAGATAACAGTATTTCAGATAAAAAATACTGAGACAGATGAATCAGGTACAAGAGCATAGAAGATGCTTAGCATATGCCATTCCTTACATGTATAGTGTTATATGTAGATTTTTCTGACGGTGACTTTTCTGAGTAAACTTGTGAACATTATAAGACATTTTTAAAATTTCTCAGAGAATTAAAAGGAGTAGAGATTGGGGCCCAAGGACTCATGCTTGCTAGATAATTGCTCTACCATTGAGCTACATCCCTAGCCCTTTTATTTTAAGACTGTATAACTAAGTTTCTCAGGATGCCCTCTGACTTGGGATCCGTTTGCTTTCTTCTCCCTAGAAGCCGGGGTTACAGGAATGTGCCACTCCTTCTGATGATATTTGTTTTTTAAACAATGTAAAAATATTGTCTTTACTCTTCAGTGCTGAATTAAAATTCTGTTCCCAAAATCCAAAATGTGATTTACTCCAAAATCTGAGACTTTCTGAATGCTGATGCATTTCAATTTCAGATATTTGGAATAGTGATGTTTAAATAAAAAAGTCTATGCAAATATTCAGAAATCTTCAAAATCTGAAAACTTTGTGGTCCTAAGCATTCAGATAAGAGATACGTAGTCTCTACTCATAACTACAAAAGATTGTACCCATTGTTTTTTTCACCTACTACCCTTAGGATTCCAAAACAAAATTGTGCCACCTTTGGATAGAACAAGTATCAATTTATATTAGTATTCTATGATGCTCTACAAATATGCTTTTTCTTTTTCTTTTTTTTTTAATTGGTAATTTTCAGATATATGTGGCAATAGAATGTATTTTGACATATTATACATGCATGGAGTATATTTAGGATCCCATTTTGGTGTTTGTACATACTGGTGATATATTCATATGTGAACGTAGGAAAGTTATGTCCATTGCATTCTACTGTCTTTCCTATTTCTACCTCGCTTCCCTTCCCTACATTCCCCTTTGTCTAATCCCATGGGCTTGTACCCACCTACATGCCTACCCCCGCCTATTGTGGGTTAGTGCCCACATATCACAGAGTACGTTCAGCTTTTGTTTTTTGGGTTTGGCTTACTTCACTTAGCATGATAGTCTCCAGTTCCATTAATGTACTGACAAATGCAATGATTCCATTCTTCTTTATGGCTGAGTAATCTTCCATTGTGTATATATGCCACATTTTTTTAATCCACTAATCAATTGAAAGATAACACTGAATGGTTCCATAGCTTAGCTACTGTGAATTGAATTGCTATAAACATTGTTGTGGCTATGTCACTGTTATATGCTGATTTAAGTCCTTTGGGCATATATATACCAAGGAGTAGGACAGCTGAGTCAAATAGTGGTTCTATTCCAGGTTTTCTGAGGAATCTCCATACTGCTTTCCATAATGGTTGCACCAATTTGCAGTCCCACCAGCAATGTATGAGAGTATCTTTTCCCCCATACCCTCAGCAATGTTTATTGTTACTTTTATTCTTTATAATTGCCATTCTTACTGGAGTGAGATGGGATCTCAGTGTAGTTTTGAATAGCATTTCTCTAATTGCTAGAAATGTTAAACATTTTTTCATATATTTGTTGACCATTCATGTTTCTTTCTTTTCTTTTTTTTTTTTTTTCTGGTACTAGGAATTGAACTCAGGGACGCTTTACCACTAAGCCACATCCCCATAACTTTTTTGTATATTATTTAGAGACAGGGTCTCATGAGTTGCTTAGGGCCTCACTAAGTTGCAGAGGTGGGCTTTGACCTCACAATCCCCCGTCTCAGCCTCCCATTCATATTTCTTCTTATGTGAATTGCCTGTTCAGTTTCTTTCCCATTTATTGATTGGGTTATTTGTTGTTTTTGGTGTTAAGTTTTTTTGAGTTATTTGTATATCCTGGAGATTATTGTTCTATTTGAGATGCAGGTAGCAAAGATTTTCTCTCATTTTGTAGGATCTCTCTTCATGCACTTGATTGTTTCTTTTGCTGGGAAGAAGCTTTTTGCCTTGATACCATTCCATTTATTGATTCTTAATTTTACTTTTTGTGGTTTAGGAGTATTGTTGAGGAATTTGGTTCCTAAGACAACATGATGGAGAGTTGCACCAAAGTTTCTACTAGTAGGCACAGGGTCTCTGGTGTAATGCCTGTGTCCTTGATCCACGTTGAGTTGAGTTTTGTGCAGAGAGATAGGGGTTTACTTTCTTTCTGCTGCATATGGATTTCCAGTTTTCCCAGCACCATTTGTTGAAGAGGCTGTCTTTTCGCCAATATATGTTTATGGCACCTTTGTCTGGTATGAGATATAACTATATTTATGTGCGTTTGAGACTGTGACTTCTGTTTTGTACTGTTGGTCTACATGTCTGTTTTTGTGCCAATACCATGCTCTGTGCTGTAACTTAAGGTATGGCATTGTGATGCCTCCTGATTCGCTTTTCTTGCTGAAGATTGCTTTTGTTATTATGGGCCTCTTATTTTTTCAAATGAATTTCATGACTGTTCTTTGAATTTCTATGAAGAATATCAATGGAATTTTGATAGGAATTACATTATGACAGTATGGCCATTTTGATAATATTTATTCTGCCTATCTAACAACATGGGACGTCTTTCTATCTTCTAAGGTCTTCTTCAATTTCTTTCTTTAGTGTTCTTAGTTTTCTTTGTAGAGGTCTTTCACCTCTTTTGTTAGATTGATTTTGAAGTTTTTTGTTGTTGTTGGCTTGTTTTGAGGCTATTGTGAATGGAATAGTTTTCTAATTTCTCTTTCAGCTGATTCATTATTGGTAAATAGGAACACAATTGATTTATGGATATTAATTTTATATCCTGCTAATTTGCTGAATTTGAGTTCTAGAAGTTTTTTGGTGGAGTTTTTGGGTCCTCTAAATATAGAATCATGTGGTTGGCAAATAGGGATAGTTTTGAGTTCTTCTTTTCCTATTTGTATCCCCTCAATTTCTTTCTTCTTTCTAATTGCTTTGGCTAGAGTTTTTAGGACTATAATGAATAGAATAGTGAAGACATCCCTGTCTTTTTCCAGTTTTTTGGTTATGTTTTATTGATGTATAATGCCCTTAAGCTGTATGAAAGACCTAAACTTTGGCTTGAAGTCCACTTTATCTAATATGAGGTTAGAAACCCCTGCTTGTTTAAGAGAATTTGAATCATGTTTTTTTCCCATCATTTTACCTTCAGTCTGTAATGTCTTTGCCAATAAGCTGCGTCTCTTGGAGACAGCATATTATTGGGTCTTGTTTTTTAATCCAATCTGTGTCTTTAAATTTATGAGTTTAGGCCATTTACATTCAATGTTAATTTTGAGCAATGATTTTTATTTCCTGTCATTTTGATTTATTTCTGGTTTTTAGTTTGAGTTAGTTTCTCCTTTGATGGACTGACTATTCTGCTAGTGTAGTTCCTCCCTTTCATGCTTTACTTTTATTTTTCATTTTTTTAAATATTTATTTTCTTTTTAGAAGTAGTTGAACACAAGACCTTTATATTATTTTTTATTTTTATATGTGGGTGGTGAGGATTGAACCCAGGGACTCATATGTGCTAGGCGAGCACTCTACCACTGAGTCACAGTCCCAGCCCTTATTTTTCATTTCTTAATGAAATATTTATTGAGTATGTTTTTTAGTGTCAGCTTTCTAGTTGTGAATTGTTTTAACTTTTGTTTATCATGGAAAGTTTTTATTTTAATCTCAGTTCTGAAACTTAAGTCTAGTCTACAGGATATAGTATTATTTGTTGGCATCTATTTTCTTTCAGAGTGCAATATATACTATTTGAAGACTTCCTAGCTTTGAGGGTCTGGGCTGCAAAATCAGCTGAGATTCAGATTGGTTTCTCCTAAATGTGACCTATTGTTTTTCTCTGGCAGTTTTTATAACAGTCTATCAAAAAGTCTATTTTGTACATAAGGCATGTCATAATAATGTGCCTTGGTATGGGTCTGTTTTAATTTTTATATTTTGGGTCCTGTAAGCCTCTCCTGTATTTGATTTTCCATATCATTCTTAAGGTTTGAGAAATTTTCAGACATTAATTCCTTGAATGATTGTTCCTTCCTTTGGTTTGTATCTTTGTATGCTCTCTATAACTATATTATAGAAGATGCCAAAACATCTTTTCACTAAGAAAATTGTAGTTTGTTTATGTTTATTCATAATTCATGGAGAATTTTAATTGCTTTGAAATTATTGATAATACCATAAAATAATATTTTTCTAATTTGTAGTTTTCTGAATACATATTTTTAAAACCAATTTTTTCTCTTCTTTCTTCCTATTCTATTCTGTCCATCTAGTTACACTTACATGGATTAATATTTGGAAAGAATAGGTATACTTAATGGACTTTTCTCTAATACTTATTTATTAAAATGAAAATTTCTTATGTGTTTTTGTTTCATAGTTAATTGTATCTGAAATATAATGATTATTTTACTAGCATCGAAAATTAATGTTTTTTAAAAAATAATTGTCAATAAATTCTGTATGAAGATACTTAAAATAATTTTATGCTTTTTAAAATCTAGGTTGGATGGACAATGGCTTGATGGTTTGTTGGCTTCAGACAATACTCTTCATTTTGTCCATCCACTGACTTTCAATTATTCTGGTGTTTATGTCTGTAAAGTGACCAATTCCCTTGGTCAAAGAAGTGATCAAAAGGTCATCTACATTTCAGGTAAGTTACTGTCTACTTGCAAAATACCTTACTTAAAATATTCCTTTGGTAACAATTATATAATAATGTGATACAGTAATAAAGGTATAGATTCATCAGTGTAAAGTTTTCCAGATATATAAAAGGCATATGATGAAGTAATACCTGTCTGAAATACATATATAAGGTGGTATTCTTAAAGAAATTACAAAATATCTATATAGCTTTATATATATTTTAATATGTATAGTTTTCAGTTAAGTTGTATTACTTATTTTTTTATTTTTTAATATTTTTTTAGTTGTTGATAGACCTTTATTTTATTTATTTATTTTTATGTGGTACTGAGAATCTAATCCAGTGCCTCACATATGCTAGGAAAGTGCACTAAAACTGAGCCACAGTCCCAGTCCTACTTGTTTCTTTTATAGGTATTGTGCCTTTCTAAATTCTTTTGTCTTTAAACAAAGAACGGTGATTTTCTATTCCCCCTTTGCTGAATACTCTGCATACATTTGTCTGATAAATAAAATAGGATATTAACTTTGATAACCTGCTTTGTTAAATAACATTACTTTCGACCTGACTATGTTGGGTTACTGAGAGGTGAAGTAGGAATGCTCTTGAAAATATTTTAATGAAATAGAATGTACTTTTTTTCTTATGGTCAGTTGTTAAGCTGGTAAGAACTTAGGCTTTCACTTATTATTTGTCTCATCAAATGTTAATTTGGCTGAATATGAATTTGGCCATTCACATTGTAGTTATCAATTATTAATGGAATCCTTATTTAGAAACAATATATAAATTATTTTGGGTAACTACTTAACTGTAAGTATATATCAAGCTATATGTTTAACAAATGGAAAATTAAGGGGAAAGTATAATAGAATCTAAATTGCAGATTTGTATGATAATTGTTGAATGGGTAATTAAAGTTTTATCTCTTTAAATCTAAAAGTAAATAAATTAGAGATATAAAATTTTTCATGATTGCTTAAATGTTATATTCTCAGACCTATGTAATCATTCAAGCTGAGCTTATATTATTTTCTCATAGTACTCACCACAATTTATAGTTGTTTTCATATTTGTTTATTATTGATCCTCAAATTTAAGCACCTTGTATTTATTTTATCCACTACTGTATACTCAGCAATTATCTTAGTGCCTAGCACAATGATAGACTCAAATATTTTTTTGTATTATACCTGCAAGAAGCTTAGTGCTATATACATCCCTACCTCTTTCTGCTAGTAACAATGCTTTTGTGGAAATCTGAGGGAGATTAACCATTAGTAAATGTCTTTCTTCCATTAGGGGATAAGCCATAGGAAACACATATTTAAAATGTAATTACCTGAAGTCTGTTTATTTTTGTGCCTATTGTACAGTTTGGTGTGGGATATTATTTGTAAATTTTAGGCTTTCCTGTACTCCTATTAATAGAACTCAATTTGGACGCTCTTAATATATGCTAATTCCATTTATGATATCCTAAGTTTATATCTTTTTGGCATTCTGCGTCCACTTCACAGTATCACTGATTTGTATTTTCAACTGCTTATTAATGATCATTAACTATATGTAGCAGTTGAATGGACATTTACAGTTTAACATGTTAAAAATGAAATTCTGATCTTATACCTGCCTCTTAACACCAATCCTGTTTTTCTACAGGTTTTCTAACTCAATTTTTTGTAGTTCTAGTCTTGAAAGTATCGTTAATTTTACTTTTTCTCTCAGACTCTATGCTGTCCATAAAGAAATCCGTGTCAGCTTTCCCATTGCATTAAATTGAATTCTATCAGTTATCTACCACTTCCCTGCTACCACGATGATCCAAGCCATCAGCAACTCTTTAACATCAGTATTAACATAGTCATTTAATATCTCCCATTTTGAATCTGTTATCCTTTAATCTGTCATCAGATGAGCAACCAGAGTGATCATTTTAGAACTATGCCAAATCATGTTGTTCTTCTTCTCAGAACCTTCTGTGAACTTTCCATTTTACCTACATTGAGAACCAAAATTTTATAGTGACTTACAAGGTTCTGTACTTGTTCTGGTACCAAATTACCTCTTTGACCTCATTCTTTTATATACCCTTTGCTCACTAGCTCAGCCATACTGGCCTCTTTTTTCTTGTTTGAACACGACAGATATATTTCTGCCCATCAGTCTTTGCATTTTCTGTTTCTACTGCTTGGAGTGCTCTTCCACAAGAGTATTTTCATACCTATTTACCCCACATCTTTTAGGTCTTTGATAAAGTACTGCATTTTTGAGTAAGGTCTTTCTGTTTTCATGATTGTAAAATTGAAAATCTTCTCTTCTTACTCTTTCACCCCTTTTTGTCCTGCTGTGCCTTACTTTTCTCTCAAACACTTATTGCTATGTGACATACTGCATATTGTGTTCATATGCTTGTCTAATTTTGCACTCACCAGAATTTAAGTCCTAAGAGGGAAGAATTTTTGTCCACTTTAATCACTGTTGTATTTCCATCATCTGCAGTTTTGAATGTAATAGGTATTCGGTACATTTTTGTTTATGTATGTATGTATGAATGAATAAGTTTGAGAAGAGAATAAGCAGGAAAGAATTAAAATTCCAGAATTTGCTTTTATGTAATTTTATTTGCCTTAATTAAGGGACTGATCACTTTACACATTTTTAAAAATCAACATCTACTAAATCTTTATAAGAATGAAAATCAAATTTTAAGAAAATGTGAAAATTAGTTAATTATTGCTAGATATTTCAGAAGAAGAAAGCAGTATGTGAAATGATTTTCTTCCAAGTGATCAAGAATTAGACTTTACCTTTCTACCCAAGAGTCTACACAATACAGTATACTATGCCAGGTTTAGTTTACTTTGGTAAGAGTTTCTTGGAGTTTACCAAGAATCATGGGTATAATATTGCTTTAAAAAAATTAACTATTTCGTAAAACCTTTTAAATCAGAATAAAAGGCCATAATTAAAACAGAATAAACAGTTATTTTTTTCATTGTAAACTTTAGAAAATTTTACCTCAGTATTGTTGAAATAGACACCTTAAACTTTTAGAAATGATTTTTAAAAATATAAAAGAAATATATCTTATGATGAGTCTCAAAGTTCTACTTAGAACACAGTAGAGTTAACAACTGTGAGTCAAATTGTTTTAAATTTTATTACCCATTTTCCCATACTGTTAGACATATGATTTTGAATAAGAGGCCCTTGATTCATGATTGTGATTTTCAACTGTAAATATAGATTCTACTCTAATATATTTTCACTATCCTGGGGTGCAGTGGCTCTTTATCCGATACTGAATATTGGACGTTGTTTTTCTTGTTTGCTTTTTTCCTCCCTGATTTTTCTCATATTTTCTTTAAAAATAGAAAAACAAAATTTTAAATGTCAAATAAACTCCCCTATGCCTAAAATTGTATTCCTCTGAAAAAGTTGAATTTCAGATCATACTGATTTGAGGGTCGAGACACAATGTCAAAACTAAACAATCAACATTTAGCATGCCTTAAGTTTTAAAATGCATGGATTTGTTTATTTAAACAACCCATAAAAGTCTAAAGAAATAGAAGTAATCCATGTAATTTTTTCATGGATTTTTAATTTATTTATTAGGCAAAAATCTACCTTATAGCTATTACTAGACTATTTTTACTAAACTATAGCTACCTTACTAAACTATTTTTCTGTTTGATAGGAGACATTAGTTAAAAAAGAAACTTAAGAACTTAAGAGAGGAAATCAGGATGTTCTAGAGTCCATTATATATCTATTATATTCTCATTTATCACACATTCAATAAAAAAATTTTAAAAATGTGTCTGACTGAAAAATATGGAATGATATTGGGAACAATTTTTATATCATGATAAATAAGTACCTGTTTATGATTATAAAATAGTCTTGCCTCATTTGAATTATGACTTTCATTCTAAATTTAAAAATAAATAAAATTCTCATATACATTTTCATATGTTTAAAATACAAAATGATGAAGTATTAAAAATATTCTCTATGCAATGATACTAATAGGATGTCTGTGCTGTATTTAACATTGATTAAGGAGAAGGATAGTGGATTGAAACTTATAGGATCACTAACAAAACTAAATTAAACAAAATTTAATTTTTTTAGTAGATTTTTCTGAAATCTGTATTTTGTTGAAAATGAATGAAATGAACATTAGACATCCATCAGTATTCATATAAAGAACTTTGCAAGTAGAAATAAAAGTGTCAATTATTATTTTTAGGATATGTGGTAAAAATGTTCAGTTATTTGTGTATACTTCATCAGCTCAAGTATATGCACTCTTCTGAGAAACCCAGGAACATATTAGAAGTTACGAAAAAACCAAATTGGAATATGACAAATATATGTATATCATAAATAATTTATGTAGATCTGTACTTAAATGTGCTGATGTCAGTTTGTTTTGATAGTTTTCTTTGAGAATCACTAAAGATGGCATTCAGTACTTAAAACTTGACTTCCCTGTTACTCTTTCTCTTTCAAAAACACAAATCATCTTACAAATGATTTAAGTTAGTGTATTTCTTTATTCTTTATTATCTTAATTCTATAAAGTTGGATTGTATGAGCTTTTACTCCTTTTATCCTAGAAATAATCTTCCAATTCCACATTTGTTTGTTCAGCTAGTGAATATGTTCTTAAAAATTATAACTCTTCCTTGATTCTCTTACATATACTATGATAACTAATACTCACTTCAGAGTACTTGACCAGGGTTACCTGTTATATCAGTTTTAGTCAGGAAATTAGTTATACTGTTATTTGTTAAGTTTTATACTGTACTTGCTAAATTTTTACCACATTCTATACATATGGCATACCGTGATGAAACCTGTTTCAGTAAGTATTTTTCTTTAGCTTGTAATATTAGAATAACTTACCCATGTAGATTTAGTATTTTTCTAACAATCACATTTTTAAAACTCTGTCAGTACCACTCATTTAAAAAATTAATTGTAGGATA